TCTCTCTGTCTCTCTGGTCTCTCTCTCTCTCTCTCTCTCTCTCTCTGTCTCTCTCTCTCTCTCTCTCTCTCTCTCTCTCTCTCTCTCTCTCTCTCTCTCTCTGTCTCTCTCTCTCTCTGGTCTCTCTCTCTCTCTCTCTCTCTGGTCTCTCTCTTTGGTTGCATCAGCAATCAGACTAAACCAACAGGCGTGATGTCTCTGCGATTGCACTTCAGAAGTTGTGAGTTCAAGGTGGTTAGAAAAGTGTATAAAGTGTAAGAGAGTTTACGGCCTTAACATATGAAGCTAATACTTCATGATGATGATTTGGGACATTTCTGCACATTTATGAAGATTTCTAGACAGTGGTCATCCCACTCCATATGGACCAATGGCCCCTATGTGTTATCATTGCATTTCCTGTGTTTTGAACTGTTTTATTATTTGTCTGTTGTTGGTGAATCCACTAAATTGTTGCCATTTCAGCCGAACTACATGCCGAAGGCTGATAATGCCCTGGAAGAGTCCAATTTTAGATTTGTATTTTTTATTATATATATAGTGATTTCAGGTAGAATCACTTTCTTTCACTGCAAACTATATCTCAACAGTGCCTTCACTGTCCGAAACATCAACGCAACACTCAAATATTATTACTGTAGAAATAAACTGTGTACTACCTCACCTTTATTTCTGCACACTCACAACAGAGCAGAACCACAGAGTAGAACCACAGAGTAGAACCACAGAGCAGCTTTTAGCGACTCACGGATATTTTCAGCCACACGGGTTAAATATATATCTGAAGTCGCTTTTTTCACTAATGAAAATAAGGATTTTTCTGTTTATGTCAAAGCAGGTGGTTTCAGCACAGACGACATACGGCTGCAATTGTTGTCATGTTTTGTGGCCATGTGTAAGCCAGATCCCATCATATTTCTGGAGTTAAGCGGGGTAGGGCCTGGTTAGTACTGGGATGGAAGACCTCTGGGAACACCAGGAGTCACAGTTGGGCGGCTGTGGATATAGAGTGCCAAACTGTTGTTGTGCCTTTGTGTAACCCGGGTCATTTTTATCATTCTCTGCACCTCTCCATTTGTCATTTTTTTTGCCGTCTCTTTTAAATAATCTCGCGGTAGTTGGTTGTTCCGAGGCAAGGCACTTCATCCACATTGCCTAAAAGGAGCCTGGTGTGTGAGCGAATGCTTGGTGGTGGTCCGAGGGGCTGATGGAACAAACTGATTGCATTGCTTCTGTCAGTGTGCCCCAGGGCAGCTGTGCCTACACAGCACACTGCAACATTTTTGGACATGTATTAACATTCATGGACATTGGTCAAACTCCCATATGGACCAATGTGTTGGTGATTTCAATGGTTTTGTATATAAAGGTATATAGGACGATTTTCTACTTCCACGTGGATCCTCAAGTCTATTGGTGCTCCCAATTGTCAATCATTCTGGTGATATGCACTCGTCAAATAAGACCAGAGTTTTGTTTTTTTTTTCAAAATGTGGAATGGAAAATTTGGGAAAATCCTCCTATATACTGAATTTAATTGTAGTTTATCCCCCTATGTATGGAGTGAAAGAATATTTACATGTGAAGTGTCTTTGAATGTCCAAAAAAAA